CGAAGCCTGCATCCATCTTTGCCTCCACCTCTTGAAAACGCTTGTCCACCTCTTGAAAACGCTTGTCCACCTCTTGAAAACGCTTGTCCACCTCTTGAAAACGCTTGTCCATCTTCGCCTCTAACTGCCGAATACGCTCATCCACATCTCGCTTCAACATATTTATATTGTCTGTAATGTAAATATTGTAGTTTTGAAGCTGGCTTTGCATCTCCCGTCTTTGAACCCCGAATGTTCGTCCGAGGATATGTATGCTTCGATCAAAGTATGTCTGGGCATCATCGGTTGGAGGCGGGGTTCGCGCGGCGTCCCGAGCCAGTTCAGTCACAATTGTAGCAGACGCGAACCCGTGAGCCATTCTTGCAGGCTGTATTGGTGATGCTGTGGGTGTTTTGTGACGCTGACCTGGTGTAGATGTTGATGGATGGGTTGGTTGTGTCAAATCATCCACCGTTGTAGCCTAGTTGTATCAGTTGACTCAGCCTCACTTCTCCAAATTGGGAATAGTTCACATACGAGATCAAGAACGGACTGGTGCCGAAGTCCTGCTAACTTCTGAGCCAATGAGGGACCTAACCCGTTGCTGAAACAAAATCTCGCTGAGAATAAAGTGTTACACTAGGTAATCAGAGAATTGAAAGATAGTTGATTCTTCTAAGTAGGATGGCTAGGAGAAGAATGAGAAAAGGATAGAAAAGGTGGGCGGTTCTCAGAATACGCATGGTCGCGTATACGTGACAGAAAGTGTTGGAGGGGATTGGATTAGGTGATTCGTCCCCTTTTATATACCACCACGGCGCTGGTGGTGAATGGGCTCTTTTGCCGTAGTGGTGGTTCACGCATACGTGAAGACTTGGCAACACCCATAAATGACATTCTCTACGGATTTGACATGAAATAACGTCTCATTGACGCTGTCGAAAGATGAATTGCCATAACTTTGACCGGAGGTCCCGTTGGATAACGCTTGATGGTTCTCATAACTACTATCCAACTCTATTAGCCAGTCGGATCCGTTCTTGTACGGATGTATTGTTAGTTGTTACTATTTTTCGTTGTTCATCTGTGAATACTTCCCTGAATACTTCCCTGAATACTTCCCTGAATACTTCCCTTGGCCTCTGGATGCAAGTAGGGTCTCTTTCCCTTCGCGCTTTCCAGGGTTGGCGGGAGTTCCTGGCTCCGATTTGGCCTCCGGGCTGGAAGATGTATACACAATCCCTCTGCCCGTGGCACCGGTTCGCATATCAGGACCGATAGTCCTCCTGGATTGGGTATCATTCGGAGAATTCTCTCCATCGCTCTTCAAGTCCACGCGATCGGTTGCTCTGCTGAAAGCGGTCAGAAGGCAGAGCTCTAGATACCATCCCATCAGAGACGAGAGCCAGTAATGCCCAGGATGCAATTCCCCCATTGATGAAATCTGTGGAATGTGTCGTCAGGTTATCACTGGCGTTATCAAGAGCTACTAGATAGAAACCTTCTTTTCTTTTCTTTTCCTCTTCTTTATACTTGTATGTAATGTGCTTGCCTGTTCACTGAAATTGCTATCCCTTGATCTGTTACAAGTTGGATCATTCTTCGCTCTTTGAGTTAGAACAATCCCTTTCAAATCACAGAGAAAAGATAATGTGATCAAGTTCATCTGCTGATCCACTTCCTCATCCTGCTAGAAATCACCCTCCAGCAAGTGCAACTGCATGGACTCTAATACATGTTCAAAACTCATCACTTCTTATATCCTTCATTTGAGCTGTAGGTTGCCTCGTCACTTTCTCACTCGTTTATCTGGTGTCTTTATATGGCTCTAAAGATCATCTAAATTGAGAACTTAACTATTGACTTCCTTTTCTTCCATTTCCTCCTTGTGTCACCAATGGGTTATTGTCGGAAAACAGGACATCAAGATGTGGCTTTTACATAGTAGCTAGAACATGCCTTGATGTGCTGCTTGGCCATGGGCATGTCAGACTACGTAAGCCAATCAAATCATGCTTCTGGTCTGGACCGTAATTGGGTATGACCTCTTGGCGTTCTTTGGTGGCAACAAACAATAGTCATCCCACCTTGTCAATTTCAACGCTGTATACAATCTCAATATCGTGTTTCGTGATAGTTATTCATTGCTGACGTGAAACCAGTTTTCCGGTACGAAGAAACAGACTCGATTACGAGGCATTTCTTAATTTCAATCGGTTTTGACACAAGATTGGCCTAAAGGTATCTCGTCGATTGTGGATTGCGTTGAAATCTGCTTAAACCCGAGATTAACCTTCTTCTTGAATAGACGTGGCTATGTGGAAGTTCGCATCTCAAGTTGGTATTCGAACTGCGGTCCGAGCTGCCTCTACCTCATCTCAACCCACCAAAGTTGCAGGGGACATATCGTCCGTTTTTCCTAGCTTGAGATCAGACTATAAGCCAGAGCCCCTCCCAAAGCGGTTTGAAGACCTAAAGTTACGCCTCTTCCTGCGGAATGGAAGTGCGCTGAAGAACAGTTGGGTTAGATTATTAGCCAGCCTTGAGCATGAAGTGGAGGAGATTAGGAAAGCTGGCAGTGACGTAAGTATAGCGTTGTTGGCTCTTGAGCTAGGATCCGATAGCGTGGGAAACCGCGCTGGACGTTTAGACGATGCGAGGGTTGACGCCACTTGCCAAAACCACAGGTTATACCATCAATTAATTTCTCAGATATTCTATCAGGCAAGGTATCTCCTGGTAAGCTAGCTGAGATTCGTAGGCGTGGATGTGCAATTGTAAGGGCAGTTATTCCGAAACCAGCGGCTCTCGACCTCAAGCAACAGGCAACTGAATATATCTCTGCCAATAAAAATAGCGTGAAAGCATTTCCCCCTGACTCCCCCGCCGTTTATGAACTTTACTGGTCACCCTCACAAGTCGCAGCCAGGGCGCATCCCAATATCCTTCGGACCCAGTGCTTTCTACAAGGAATTTGGCATTCTTCCGATCCCAAAACACAGCTCTCCACGACCTACCCTCTTTCCTACGCGGATCGATTTCGCATCAGAAATCCAGGCGACGCGAAGTTTTGCCTTGGCCCACATATCGATGGAGGATCGCTTGAAAGGTGGGAGGATCCTGAATATTCAAGTGTGTACCAGAAGATACTGGATGGTTCGTGGGAGGAGTATGACCCTTTTGATGCACGGCACCGCGTTCACGCGAAAATGGATCTTTACAATGGAGCCGGTGCCTGCTCCATGCTACGGTTCTTCCAAGGATGGCTGTCGATGTCCGACACGGGACCAGGAGAAGGAACAATGCACGTATGCCCAATGTTAAAATCTAGTACCGCTTATACCATTCTCCGCCCATTCTTTGATGTCCAGACTTCGGAACCCCTGCTGGATTCTTCATTCCCCGGCTCCGTTCCTGGATCGTGTCAAGAATACTCGGACCTCTCTCACCCGCACCTCAAGCTTTCCACTACCATGGTATCTGTACCCCGGGTTGAGCCAGGTGATTATGTTGCATGGCACTGTGATTGTCTCCATTCTGTTGACAATGAACATAGTGGTAAAGGTGATTCGAGTGTGTTGTATATTCCTGCGGCCCCGCTGTGCGAGATGAACGCAAGATATCTTCAGAAGCAGCGCCAAGCGGCCTTAACATATTCTCCACCATGGGACTATCCAAATGCTGGGGGACCCGGTGAGTTTGGCTTTGCTGGAGCAGTGGATTGGTCGACGTTGAGCCATGATGGTTTACAGGCCATGGGAATGGGTGATGCACCATGGCAGGTTCAGGGAGGTATGTCTCAAGGTGAGAGGGAAGCTATTGAGGTCGGGAACAAAATTGTGTTTGAGAACAACTAATAGTTGTCCCTTTGGTTGATTACTCAATTGCTGTTAGCTCCTAGCTTAGTGCCCCATGTTGATTATTAGTGCTTCGGAACAAGCAGTTCTCTATTGTATAACAAAAGAAAAGTTGTATTATAATGTAATTGCGAAATATAATTCTCCTTGGAATTTCCTAGCAACTATTTTCAAGTCGTTAATAGAAACCAGCACAGTTTTTGCATTGATCGGTGGTCCAGCCCTCTTGGCCAATGAGTAGTTGTTATTCCAGAACGCAGGGAAGCTGGACTTCTTCATGCGGACAACTCATCCTGCTAACTCTGACCACCTAATATCGCCCTCACTCCCCAACCTCACCCCTCCCCAATGATCGCCGCAACCCAGTTGAAATAATGCGGCTTCAAGCAGCCCTTATCCTGCTGGCCTCTGCCGTGCCCGCTTCCCTGGCAATTTTCGCAGACGAGGCCTACCACATAGATTACCACCATGCCTTACTAGGAACTCCCCAGGGACACTCGACTTTCTTCCACAAGCCCAGCACCTCCTCTGCTGCGTCGTTACTCTACACGCTATCTGAAAAATATATCCTGGGTGCAGTGAACCCGAAGGATGGTGCGATTGTCTGGCGTCAGAACCTGGCAACAGCAGCGTCGGCGGATGATGGCCACCCATTACCGTCGTTGCTAAGAGGTGTTGAAGGTGAGGATGCTGTGGTCAGTGCAATTGGCGGGAGGGTGGCTTCATGGAGCGCATTGGACGGGAAGTTGGCCTGGGAGAATGAGTTCCATGATGGCCCGGTTGTCGGTTTGGAGACGCTTGTCCTTGATAAGTCCGTGGACCCGAAGCTGGCTGCTAAGGATTTAATCGTGCTTTTTGGCAAGAAATCGGGCATTGTTAGACGGTTAGATGGCGCATCCGGAAATGTTAAATGGGAATACAAAGATGATAGGTGTGTTTAGTATTGTTCAGGAGCACTGAGGTTTTCTCCTCCCGTCAAGATTATTTTAGATTCTGACTTATATTGGATCCTGACTGACTATTTTGTTCTCTCAAAGTGATAACTCACCGTTCCAGGTGTCGACTTCACAAGCTGCTATTTACTATATTTCTCTACAACCTGCAACACGGAAGGGATATAAAATCAAAGTTACAGCGCTAGATTTGAACACGGGTCACCAAACGAACCACTATACCCTGAACTCTGAAGGCGAGGTTTCCTCTCCCCAATCTATCATTTTCGTTGGAGCAAATTCCAAATCTCCGTTGATTGTATGGGCGGATAGCACATGGAAGACCATAAAAATAAATGTGATTGGAACCAAGCACATCCATTCTCTTGATGTTAACAACAACAGCGGCGAGGATATCCAGAAGGTCGAATTCCACGCTCCTCGTTCCTTCAATGCGGAACCACATTTCCTAATCCACTATGCGACAGAATCCAAATCATGGGCAGAGGTATATCACACGGACATTAAATTGGGTGAAATATCCAGCGCTTACCAGCTTCCAATGGTTGCTGAAAGTTCGGTTTTCACTACGAGTAATAGGGATACCAACGTCTACTTTACTCGGGTTACGAAAACTGATATAAGTGTCGTCTCGTCTACTTCTCATGAAATCCTTGCCAGATGGACTCCTAGTGAAGCTGTAACTGAAAATGCACGCCACGCGGTCTCCGAAGTCGTTGCTCGTGGCTCTACCTATGCCGTTCGATTTGCCCAGGTTTTGGAGGCTGGAAACTGGATGCTGGTTCGAAACGGCGATATTGCATGGAGCAGACCAGAGATTTTGACCGAAGCCGTAGCAGTGTCCTGGGCTGACGTCAATGGTGGGGAGAAACTTGCTCAAGCACTGGAAGTAGAAGGTCATGAATCATTAGTGGGAGCATATGTTCACCGGTTGAAACGCCATGTGAAGGATCTGGAGGGTTTGCCTACATGGCTCCGCGGATTACCCGTCCGTATTCTATCGAGTTTCATGGCGAGCGATGGTTCAGATCGCATCAGCTTTGGATTCAGGAAATTAGTGATTGTGGCCACCAGGAATGGTTACGTTCTGGCTATAGATCACGCGAATAAGGGCAAAATTTTGTGGAAGACCAAGGCCGCTGAATCCCGCGATGCTGACTGGAACGTGAAAGTTATCAGTGTTGCTCATTATATTGCGACAGTCTATGTGGAAGATGGCAGCTTTGTCAAGGTCAATGTCTCTTCAGGAGAGATTATTGAACGAGGCAATCCGTCTGAACACCTTGAATCTATCGTCCTGATACCCAGCGGGGGAAATCAAGTTGCGGTCAGTGTCCAAGCTCGTGGTGTGCCCGATTTATCCTCTGTGCCTATTGACGGCAACACATTCATTGTAACACTAAATGGTGGTCGTGTCTTCGGTTGGAACTCCGCGAGCCCCAAGGTGCCCCTTTGGGAATTTTCACCTCCCAAAGGCGAGAAGCTTATCAATGCTATAGCCCGCCCACCTCATGATCCAGTTGCATCAATTGGAAAAGTACTGGGAGATCGCTCTGTTCTCTACAAATATTTGAATCCAAACCTTGCTCTCCTCACGGCCGTTGGGGATTCGACAGCTGCCTTCTATCTTCTCGACGCTGTATCCGGACAAGTCCTTCACTCCATCACCCAAACCGGCGTCGACACCAGCCAACCCATTACTACAGCTCTGTCAGAAAACTGGTTCACTTACTCTCTCTGGGCCGATGTAACAGAAAGTTCAGACTCAAAAGGCTACCAGCTCGTGATATCCGAACTGTATGAATCCCCCATCGCCAATGACCGCGGCCCACTAGGTGAGGCCGCAAACTATTCGAGCATCCATTCAAACTCCGGCATTCCCCGACCCCACGTAATCTCTCAAGCCTACATAATCCCTGAACCCATCTCAAGCATGGCCGTCTCTCAGACCCGCCAAGGCATAACCACCAAACAATTACTATGCTCCCTACCCGCTTCAAACGGCGTCATCGGTATCCCGCGTCAACTCCTAGACCCCCGGCGCCCAATTGGTCGCTCGCCAACGGCGAATGAGGCGGAGGAGGGCTTGACCCAATACGCAGCCTTCCTAGACTTTGACGGCAGGTGGTTTCTCACGCACTCGCGCGATGTCATTGGTATTCAGAATATTGAATCGAGCCAGACGTTGCTAGAAAGCACCAGCCTTGTATTCGCCTATGGGTTGGATGTATTTGGCACACGGATCCATCCTAGTCAGGCATTCGATATTTTGGGCAAGGGCTTCTCTAAGATACAGTTGCTGTTGACTGTTATTGCGCTGGCTGTTGGCGTTGCGATGCTGGCTCCTCTGGTAAATTTCTCTCTTCCCCTGTTTGTGATTTTCCCACACCTTGCTGGGTTTGGTACTTGCAATCACTGTGAATGCTAACCAGCGAATCTTCTCGCTTATTTTCACAGGCCCGACGGAAACAAGTGGACTTGAAATGGAAGTCTTGAGAATAGAGATCAATAATTTCACACAGAACAATATGCGTGAAGCCCACTCAGCAAGCCCAAAATATCCGCTTCTCAAATCCATCCTCTTTGATAGAGAGAATATTTGGCTGTATTTTATTTTATATATGGAAGTAAAAGGAGAAAGATAAAAGTTCCTTTACCGAAGTATTCTGATTTTCATTTTATCCCCCTTGTTTGCTATATTGCTTGTACATTTCGTCAATGAGGCATGCATCTCATCGGAAGCTCTAGAAATACATTTACTATCCTATTTTTACGTACATTATATATAACCCTTCTCACGGCCATTGTCCTCAAATTGAACTTCGTCTCAGAGTGAATTTCGTCGCACAAAGCACACTAGAGGATACCGCGATGACCCTGTTTGCATCACAGTCTCCGCACGGCCAAGGCGCTAACCTTTAGCTAGTTCTTCTCAGGGGCCGCGGCTCGACGATGGAAAATGCAAAATCGTTATTCTGCTTTTGTTCAGATGTCGCCAGAAATCGTTCCAGCGCGATGTGGTATCTTCTCTATTTTGTGGTGGCGGCCAACTCTCTCGCTTTCGCTTTCCCCTCAGCGACAGTTCCCAACGACAGGCAAAACGCCCTGTTCGTAATCCCAGAACCTACCAAGCTACCCTTGGAAGATGGGCTTGCTCGGAGGCTTGTTCGTCGGGCCACCACCCAACAGGCCGAAGCCACGATCTGTGGTTACTATGCAGGTTCCAAACGTCAGATTCCCTCTCCAAAGAGTCCCAGTCAACAGCAAACGAGTTTACGATTGAACCAAATAAACTAAAAACGTATACAGAGTCCCGCTTAGCTTGTTACAATAGCAATGCCTGTGTCTTTCATTCTTCGAACGCCAATTTCCCCGCTATGGCGGGTTGCTGTCCGACTGTCTCCACCATCACGACTTGCACTTTCATCAGCACTTGCTACGGTAGTTCTCAGTTTTCGGCAACCCCTTCCCTTCGCCCCTATTCCAATGATCCGTTCGTGATGTTGTGCACTGGCAGCCAGGACCCGCACTGCCATACCAGGACGTGGCCTGATCTCTCGATAGCGGATTACCAATGTACCTATTCAGGCACCTCCTCAGGGGCCGAAACAATGTTTACCATCGGCTCCCTGACCGATGTCAAGGACGAGAATGACCAGATTACGGAAACCATGTCGATTTCCTGGGTCGACGACTCGGTGTTGTTAGCCATTCGGGCTGCCTCTGCCACAATCACTTCAGATCCTGAAACCGCGACTCCCAGGACGGCGGCAACGGAGAGCAATACCGCGCGACCAGGAGACGACGGCGACGACGATAACTCTGAAGATTCAGCCTCAAAGCCCCCAATAGGGCCAATTGTTGGCGGCGTCGTCGGCGGCGTCGGCGGCGTGCTCGTCCTTGTTATCGTCCTGGTGTTCGTTTGGAGAAGATCGAAGCGGAAACCAGCTACGGCTACAGCGGAGACGGCCGCGGGTAAGACTGACTCGGAGCCACCATCGCCCTTGGATGGCGATCTGGGACCCGTGATTCATGAAATGCATGGCGTTGATGCCCACCGAAGACATGAGCTAATGCCGGAACGAACGTATGTGGAACTGCCTGAACCGGAGGTGCGACACCAGGTGGAATAAAGAGTTTGACTCTGGGTCGTTTGTATCTATTAA